TAAGGTTGCAATTACATGAAAGTGCATTCAGTAATAATAAGGCATGATTGAATTCAGCAAAACGCATTGTCATAAAGAAGTATAGAAGCAAGCATAATGTAAGTCCCAATATCATAAAGCAAGATGGAATAAATGCACTAATTCTGTTCCATATAGTGTTATGTAGTACACAGCTAGCTTTCTGAAATTTTGTTTATGTTCATATTATTGTAAGCAATGATTTTGGGTCGATAAGATGACCCTTACAACAATCAGTTGTGGAGAAAAGTACTAGATTTAGTTTGTTTGTATCATGTATGCTTAGCTCATAAAATTTTTATAAAGGTACAGTGTATAAGGATATCATCGAGTGTTCTCTCTGAGCTGGGTTTCATCCCTGGAAGAATAACATGGTAGTTAAGAAGGATATTAGTTAAGAACTGGTGCGAGTATCCGGTATTGAGAACGATTGTTAAGAAACTACCCAATTGTTAAGAAACTACCCGTCTACAAAGCTGACATTATGTTGAAAAGGGCTTATAACCCTCCGTGTGTGCGTTATATATAAACATATACAAAAATTTACCTCATAATTAAGTATCAATGTTCTCTTTTTCAAAACCTTAGATTTTCTACATCCCGAGACGTTTTCCTAAAGTGAAGTTATTATGTCCTCAATAGCTTGCCAGTTCACTTATCACTTAACAACGTCCACAGAAGAATGTGTTTTGACCAGTGTCCTTATTTGGATGCATTTGTCAGAATGTCCCCATTAGGTTAGACACACCTGAGTGGGGGTGGGTCCTCAATAGACTGTCTTTTTTCCAGTCTATTTGTAATGACAGTATCGTTGATTAAAAGTTATAACTATAGTGTAAAAAATATATTTGTGATCTTAGGGCAGTTATTTTGTAAGAAAACCATTCAGAAAGGAGTGTCCTCAATTGACTGCAAAAAGTTATGTGTCCTCATTGGAGGGTCCTTACAAGTATGCGCGCGTTTGTGTGTGTGTGTGTGCGTGCTTGTGTGTGTTGGGGGTCTTCATTTAGTCTGTATAGTCTTAAATAGAACACATGCATAAAAGCTTAGATATTTTGCTTTAACATTAACTTGTTTACTACAACAAAATGAATGTTAATTATGTCCATGGAGTAAAAGATGGACTTACCCTTGGAATCACTTAATTTGTATTGATTGGGATAAAATGAACATGTTTTTAAACCTATTGCAGTTATAGTGTCCTCACCATTCATTCTCTGTATGTGGCATCATCTTAGGATCCTCCAAAAACATGAATAATGCTGCCTTGGTCAAAATTGACCTAAAACCTGGTGTGATTTTTCAACATAAGTAAATAACGCTTCCAAGACCAAAACAATATCCCCAACCTGGGGACATTTTGTACGCATATTATTTTACAGTAAATATTTTTGTTTTAGAATTTTTTTCTTATATTCTTCTAATAAAAGACAATGCCAAGAACATTGATATTTAGCACGGAAACTAACCTTGTAGATCTCTACAAGAATGGCAAAAATCATGCGCATGTGGTCAACTTAGTCTCGTCCCGGGGATCACTTAGTTTAGATATTAGACGAATATTGGAAATCGTTTTTAAGTCTTCTTGTGAAAAACTATAAAGCACATGCAGAGCTTAGATATTTCCATAAAAAACAGCCCTGGTGATAAGTTATAAAAAACCTTAGATATCTTCTTTTCTACCCAGAGCATAGATATTTTGCAAGTTGTGACATTTTGTGGTCCTCTACAAAATTTTATCTATACATGCAAATTTTACATAAATCATACTCCTCGGGTCATAATTGGTTCCACCGCGGGTGTCACTTGCGAAAACGATCATGCCAACGGCTTAGACATTTGGCATGGATCATTTCGTAGTGAACCTATACAAGTTACTTAAAACCGTGGCCAAAAATGCACTCTGGTGGTCACCACCAAATATATAAAGTTTCATAAAATATTTTCAGCACTTTTTGCGTTATCACGGGTATCAATTTTGTGCACGGACGGATTGACGGACGGATTGACTCACGAACGGACGGAGGGTAAACATAAAGTCTCCACCGGTTAAACTGGAAGGAGACTTGTTATCTATTTCAACCATTCGGAATAATTTTGTTCTCAATAATTTTGTTATTGTTCATTTTTACTCTCAATGTAAATTGTTTAGTTTTACTGAATGCCTTTTTAGATTTAAAAAGAATAACGTAAACTACATTGTATTTAAGTTTAAACAAAACGAAATTTGAAAAGGAAGTTTATAAATGAGAACGTTTTGTTGGTAGATTTACAACATATTATGTCACAATTGACAAAATAATCAATGTGGTAATTAAACTTGTAAAATGGAACACTGTAAGATTTAAATATTGTCGTGTTTTGGTAAGGTAACCAACATCTACACAGTCGGTAGGTAATTATACATGTACGAGTATACATGTTTATTAGCAATTGAATGATACACAAAAATATATGAAAATTATGTTAAACATTTTATCAGTTGAACACATTGATAATCATATAAGATAATCATATAATACTTATTGAACATTGTTTCTGAAGGAACCTGAGAAGTTCGGATTTTAGTGTCTTTTTCGATTTTTCTCATGTGCATGAGTAAACTTACAGGGCCACAAAAAATATTGTTTGTCTCGTTATTTTGGACAAAAGTTATAACTCAATAAGCTCTTGTATAAAATAAATCGTTCAGTTCTAATGTTCGTGAAGTTTGCAGCCAACTTCAGGCTGCTAGGATGCCAACTTCACGAACATTCAGTTCTAATGTAAAAAAATATATTTACTAGAAAATGTAGTGACATCTAAACGGTATGTAACATGTTTTGGGTTAAATAGACCTTAAATATCTAAGCAATATATCTAGAAAGTTAAAGAACTATCCTGTACATTTTTTTTTCAGAACCGTCCATTACATTTTATCGTCTATGGGCAAGAACTATCCATTACATTTTATTTTAGAATAACCAATAGATTTCCAGAGTTCAGTTTGTTACAACGACCAATAAAAACTAATTGTTCAGTTGTAATTTTAAACGGTTTTTGACCTACATATAAACTTTTTATTGCATTACATATTGACCTATCCTCGTGTTTAACACTGTGATCACGTGGTCAGGAGATTTTGAAGTACCATAAGTCATTTTTATTACATCTGCGTCTACTCAGACCAAAAAAGCATTTTATATATACCGAGCATGAATATATACCAGAACGAAAAATAAAGGGCTCAACAGAGCCTCGCCCTTTTTTCTTTTTAGCCTTGCCTGATAAAATTTGTAATATCAGACACTAGTATGGTATCCTCTATAAAGCAGTCTTTTGAAATCGTTTCATAACATTTTATTTGATATGGAAACTCAAGTAAGATCTTATGATTATTTACTTTTAATTATAAAGAGGATAGGAGATTTACTAAAATGATTGTGGAATGATTTCAACTTAACAAGACACTATTATCAGACCGAAGTATTTTGCTGTTCAAAATTGACTTTCTAGAGTAATGGTGTATTTCAGATGTTTTTTCTCTCAGTATTGAAGTGAGAAATATCGAAAGTTCATGTCTACTTCCCGATGTGCACTATCATTCATTAGAGTATATAATACACTCTAATTCTCGAATTTAGTCAGGCAGTAAAAATATGGTGATAAATTCTGCCAAATCAGCAATTAATCGCTCTCAACATGAAAATTATTAATTAAATCCCGAAACCTTTTACTTTTCTTTATTTTTTTTTCATTTTTCTCAAGTTTGATTTTCTAAAAATATTTTGGATCATAATTATGTAGCTTTAATCCGTATCAACAATCTTATGCCATAAATATACAGTTCATATCACCAAGGACAACAAAAACACTTAATGGCATTTGGCCAAACGATATCGCAAAAATGACAAATACAATATATAAAAAGCCTATCCTTTTTGATTAAGTCATACATATTTCAGGATTTCAGATTGAAGTGCATCGAATTGTTTACAGGTTGAAAACTTCCTTTTTAAGAACATTCTTTAAAATCAGTATAAAAAAACATATTCAAAATTTTGTCTGAACAATAAAAGACTTTTACGGACTTATCTTACAAGTCGTTTTGCACGAATAATTATGTGAAAAAAAATATTTTATATAGCATTAAGACAAAAAAAACTTTTCATTTTCAGGAAAGCGACTTGATACGGGTAAGTTGGACAATTTTTACTTGGACTATTTTTGAGATTTTATTTTACAAGCTGCGAATAAATAATGGTAAGAAACGCTCTACACGATGTCCCTAAAGTGACAATCATTCTTTCTTATTTCGTAACAATATTAAATAATTTCCAAATGCATTTTGTGAATAGGTTAAATTATTTCGTAAATATGTAATAGTTTTTGTATTCGTAAAAATGAAATAGCATTTGTTAACAAAATACACAAAAAACCACACAAAAACAATGTTATATCACGTATGTAATATAAATCCGTGGTTATATCAATTCTGAGATACGAAATGTTTTTTTTTCTAGAAACGAAACAATATTACATTGACAGCGATTAAATGCAATAAAACATTACTTTGACTTGGGACTAAATCATATTATTGTGAAATATTTCAATTTTTCATGTAACAAGGCCTCCGGCTCAAATTTAAAATAAATCACAAAAATGATCTTATTTCATTTCTTCGTTTTTACGATTTCATTTCATATTGAAAAATCAACGAAACGAAAAAATCATTCTTACGAAATGATTTGACATTTTTACAAAAAAAAAAATTGAATAAACAACAACAACAAAAAACACCCCCACGCAAAAACAACAACAGCAAAAACATTACTTTTAAAGGGAATTTTGTTTAAATTTTACAAAATAACAAAAAAAGCATCACGTAGATCTATTTCACTTTAGGGGAACCGAAATTTTCTTGGACGCGGGCCGTTGCTATGCAAAATCGACCTCATGAAGTATTTTCTCGCGCATGCGCAATCTGCATAAGGCTAAAGTTTATCGCCATAGGCAAGTATGAAATCTATTAATAGTAACAAATTGCTGATAAGACAAACAGGTAGCTTGCGAATGGTTGGCAAAATATGGGACTGATAACAATAAAAAAGCATTGACATTTTTTATTCTTAATTAGAAATTTATTTTTCATTAAACAGTTTTATATTTTATATCATTAGAAAGGTCTGTAAACTCATATTTTACACATTAAGAAATAACTTTTCATAACATCAATTTTTCTAGATAAAGGGTTAAACTTGGTTCTAGAAAACTATTGAAAATATTGTTGAAGAAAATGAAGAAAGTCGATTAAAAATATGAAAATCCGCTCATATTAAAGAACTTTCAAATTTTATAATAATGTAATGAATCGACTGACTCACAAAAGAAAAACAATTATATAAGAACTTAAAAATTCTGCTGCTATAAAACGTATATAAATATTGGCTCTTTTTTGCCAATCAGTATATCTGTTAAATTCCTGTAGCAGGTGCAGGTATAAGTCAACTTGCATATACATAGAAATGTATAGTATACCTTCATAAACAATTTCAAGTAAGTAATAAATTGTAATAAATATAATGTCTGTTAACAAAAAGAAGGGCTTTGGCCATGAGTGCAATTAAAAAGATATGGATAAGATCAGGAATATATTTTTTAAGAATTTCCATTACGACCACGTCGAACTTATAAATAATTGAGATATACATGTTTTGCTGTAAAAAAAAGTGGAAACATATATATTAGCAAGAAAGAGGTCTGCTTAATTCTTCTTGAAATACTTCATATTAATTAAAACCCTTGAAAGAATCAAAGATTTGCATAACATTTGTAATCTCTCTCAGTAGGTCACCGACAATATGAATAGTATTTGCTTTAACATTCGAAGAAGATTAAAACATGTAAAAATGCACGTATTTAGTTTTCAGTTTACTTGATTTAATCCTATATCTGATCTGACTGTGGGGCCAAACAGAAAAATGTATTTAAGTATTTTTTTTACAAAATATTGAGCATTTAATGGCAACGAACTAACAAACATTTTTATCAAGTTTATTGTACCACATTTCATATTCTGGGTAAATGCTTCAAATGTCACTTGACAAAATTAATTCCAAAGATTGATAAGATATTTACATGTAAAAAGTTACGTTATTAGCTATGTCATGGTACTAAAACGCCCCAGTTGAATGACAACCGGTCATGTGTTTATCCGTTTGGCACCTTGCCTATCGAAAGAGTAAAGTGCCAATTGTGTAATATCATGTAATTACGGAAGCACAGAGGGGACATTCCGATTGTATATTGTATATTGTGGCCACGAGTTATAACTCAGAAAAAAACAAAAAACAAAATGCTATCTCGTGGCCACGAGATATAACTCAGAAAAAAAAAACAAACAAAAGACAAACAATCCCTATCTCGTGGCCACGAGATGTAACTCAGAAAAAAACGAAAAACAAAATGCTATCTCGTTCCCACGAGATACAACTTAGAAAAAAAAACAAAAAACAAAAAATCCTTATCTCGTGGCCACGAGTTATAACTCAGAAAAAAAAACAAAAAACAAAAAATTTGCTATCTCGTTCCCACGAGTTATAACTCAGAAGAAAACAAAAAACAAAAAATTTGCTATCTCGTTCCCACGAGTAAGAACTCGGAAAAAAAACCAAAAATTCGCTATCTTGTTATCAAGAGTTAATCGGCCAGTAAGCTTTTTATTCTATTTCGTTGACATAAAATCATTCTATAGGCCGCCATCTTGGCAAGTATGTCTACTCGCGCCGAAATCAACGAGCGCATCTTCGATTTTATTGGTCAGCTAACTCGTTACCACGACTTAGATGTGTTTATCTGATTGGTCGGCTAACTCGTGGCGAATTTTGTTTTTTGTTTTTTTTTTCTGAGTTATAACACGTGGCCACGAGATAGCGAATTTTTGTTTTTTGTTGTTTTTTTTCTGTTATAACTTGTGGCCACGAGATAGCGAATTTTTGTTTTTTGTTTTTTTCTGAGTTATAACTCGTGGCCACGAGATAGCAAATTTTTGTTTTTTGTTTTTTTTTCTGAGTTATAACTCGTGGCCACGAGATAGAGAATTTTTGTTTTTTGTTTTTTTTTCTGAGTTATAACTCGTGGCCACGAGATAGCGAATTTTTTTTTCTGAGTTATAACTCGTGGCCACGAGATAGGAAAATTAAAATTAAAATCGGAATGTCCCCTCTGTGCTTCCGTATGTAATACACGGGTTATGATTTTTTTTATCTCTAACAACCTGATGTTATATATATAGACAGCAAATCATGTTTTGCGTACTTAGACCTACCGTTTTAAGTCGTGTCAGCTCACTGTATTCTGGGCGATATAAATTGAAATTAAAGCCTTTCATATGAGAGTATAAGCCCTCACGACCACGTTTTAGGATTTCAGTATACTAATTATGATACTAGACGACCTTCATTTATCAAGACTCTTTAAAGGAATATTAGTTCAGGATCCACAACATCAAGCACCCTCAAATGCATCTAATGCATGTACTTTAAGAACCAAATTCATCTTTAGGGTTTCTCAAACTTGAAAGATCCTCAGCCCTGAATGCATAAATGCAGTGAAGGTCAAGTTAACTACTAATTTTAATTTTACTTGCTTCTTAAGGGCATCCGTGGTTAAAGTCGTTGACTTCAAACCACTTGCCCCTCACCGCTGTGGGCTTGAATCCGACTGGGCTTTGGATTCTTTCATGCGAGGAAGCTATCCATCTAGCTTACGGAACGTCAGTGGTTCTACACAGGTGCCCGTTCGTGCCTGAAATAATGCACGGAAGGGCACCTGAGGTCTTCCTCCACCAGTAAAGCTGGAACGTCGCCATATGACCAATACTGTGTTGGTGTGACGTAAAAAACAAACAAGCAAACAAACTTGCTTCTTAACTTTTGGTTAATCACCTAGATTAGATCAAATAGCTCATGAAAATGTTGATTACTGATAATATCTATTCTTTTGGTATTCGTATTTTTATTGCCGAACGCGAAATGCGCTTGCGGGAAATTCTACTTCTTTTTTTAAAGGTAATATCGCATTGCAAAAAGCACTATACATGTACGAAATGTAATAATTATAAAAATATTTACAGAATATTTACAGATATTTGTCCTTCATTTACATATTTGTTTAATTTTTTAGCATTTTTTCCGGACCTTATTATTTTCTAGTGTATTTTTTTTTCGTTATATTTGTTACATCTTATTTTCTTAAAATGTTTGTTTGTAATATGTTTATGTTTATAGATAATGGGGCCTAGCAAAGAGAACAAATCGTTACTATGGCTTTTTCTTCTTACATATTTACGTAAGTTTTTTTTGAGAATGATACTGGCACAAGTATTTAACTCAAATTATTTGTAAAAGAGTTTGACTTACTCAGAAATTATTTTCAAGGCAATTTTCACATGTCTCTGTGTCTTTTCATTTGAGATAAAAAGAGTTAGATTTGATGAATATATTGATAAAATCTAAATAATGACATTCATAAAGTAGAACTGGATGATGATAATAGATTTTTGACAAAGTTTCTGGATTTTCTTAATATCAACGAAATCAATTTCTACAATCGCCTACCAAGAATGTAATTTATACTGATATCAATTTTACCATATTTACAGTACCATGCAACTGCGAGGTACCCGTTGTACAGGATTGGCCCAGTTCCATCACCATTTCTGAGGATGTCCCTGTCGGTAAGCAAAATGCAAACGATTAACATTTATGATTTGTTTCTAAAGTAATATTTTATCACTTACTGTGTATACATTTATTTTAAAATGAATGTCAAATGGTTATTTTGCCAGTTTTCAAAATAATATTCATTTATTTGCATTTCGATAAAAGACCGCTTTCTTAAATGAATACAGCTAATTTATCACCTTGCATAATATGTTTATATGATTACTCTAATCAATGCCAACCACTATGAAATTGTTTAATGTTACCATAGTAGAAGCAACACATTTATGTTTAAAATAAATACTACAAACGTAAAAGACATCTCTCATGTGTAGTGGACCTAACGACTGCAAAGAAAAATGTACATGTTTAATTCATAAACTAGTTTGACTTATTTAAAATGACATGGAAAGGACAACTATTATTCTGTTAATGCAAATATCGCCCGTCATCGATGTTGTTTCTTCGGTCAACCCATTAGGTCAAATCTTTGTAATAAAGGCCTTTTCTGGTTGACATAGCAACAAAATGTAAAATGCTTTGAGAACTTTCTTGTCGAAACGTGCAAGTTTCATAGCATTTACTATTTTATTGACATTTCAATTATGCATTGTTATGCCGCATATAGCTCTCAACGAATATAGCTTTTCGGAGAGTTTTAATCGTCGACACATTGAATCGAATATAGCTCCAGATAAAGAGGTGCTGTAAACGTCAAGATGCCAAGTTTAATATATTTTTGGCAAATTTTTTTGATTTTATAGAGTGTGTGTTTTTAAAAAAAAATTGTATTGGGCGCTGGCAATGCCATATGTCCCAGACTGTCGGCCTCAGCTACGTCGTTGGTCGTAGAGCCGCTACGGAGGACTTCTCAAGCTGTCTGTCGAAGTAGAGATCTTCTCCCAAAGACAAAATTCTTCGCATCGTAGAACAAAGGAAGATGATAGTTGAAAGGCACCTCTTCCGGGAGGTAGGAGCATCTGTTAGAGCCACACCCTTCGCCGTTAGTTAGATCACACAAGCAAAGTGACCTAACTAGGTCACCCGTCTGGTGTGACATATGCACTCCGAGCGACGTGCACGCCGCAAAGGGCTGCAAAGGGCTGTCGCTGTGCGTTATTTAACTTACTCCATGACGGGAAGCTTAATTCCTCGAAGTGAGAAAACATTTTTAAATCGATGCATGCTGGTGAACTAAACGAATATCTCCCGGAGAGCTACATGCGTTATGGTGCAACGGATAAAGCTTCCCGAGCTATACCCGGCGCGTAACAATGTATGTATGCATTGAAGCGCTTATTGAATTATTTGAACTAAAATTAGATTTCTCTTGTAATTTACGTGAAAAATACTGAATATATCACTTTTGTTTTGAAAATTAACACTTTTTTGGCAATATTGACCTGAGATATTTGAATATCCAATGACCTTTTGTCGATAATTGTCGGATTTCAAAGTAAATCTTACGGATTATAAAGTATGGCATAACGGTACACATGGTCTATGTATAACTTAGTGTTACCGTCGCAACACGTGCCTAACTAGCCAACGTGACAAGGAGTTAATACTGTAGGTTGTAGGTTCGAATCTATATGAAACATTAGTATATATACTTATTTATTATTTTATTATATTCATGAAACTTTTTTGCATGTCAACCACTATTGTACGACTGTACACATTGAACTTATGAAAAATTTATATATATCTATTTATAAAACTTACGATATTTCTAAAGGGAAGACAAGAGAAATTAAAGAAATCCATCCACTAATGAGGCATATAGTTAAAAAATAAAGAAATCTGAAAAGTACGTCGAGGATTCAAACTTCCCATTTCCAATGCTATCATACTTACCACTAAGCCATCGGGACGTTAGTGTAAAAAACTTCCGAATAATAATCAGTCTGAGGTCAATACTGCCAAACAATAGCTTCAAATAATCGACAACATATTCACAATATCATAATCAGTTAAGTACTTGTCTAATATGACAGCTGATAATAGTTCAAGTCCTACTTTTGGTAAGTATCGTATCTTTGCAAAATTTATAGCTAAGAGCTCTCAAACATATAGAGCAATTCTAAAACACTATTTTGTCTCCTTTTGTATAATACTGTATTTAACGGAAATTTGTTGATTTTAATTCGATTGAATTTGAAATGTTATTAAAAAAGAATAATCTTTTCCAAGAATAAGCGCAAAAAGCATGCAATTGACAGGTTTATAAAATTAAACGATGCAAAGCATTTAATAGTTATATTCTACCAATAATTGCAATTGTGTTTTTCAAATTATGCCAAATGAGATTTTAAAGTCAGTTTTATGTTATTTCCGAATCAGAAAAGGTTGTTATTTATTAAGACATGTCAAATAAGAAATCAGACATTGATCATTTGTTTGTAAACACTTTTTCTGCCATTTAAGCGCAGGTGAACTTAGATTTCTTTAATTTCAGCTCAACATATGAAAATGAAATTACTTTTTTTCGCCCAAAAATTGCCATTGCAGATATTTTCTTTTCATATTTTGAATTAAATAATTGATATCCTGTAAAGTTGTTTTTTTTAAGTTGAAGCCAAATGTTCCAAAAATATAGGTCACCAGACCAGTCTGTAAAAATCAATTGAAATGACACAAATAAATGAAAATAATATTTAAATTAACATAATCGAATTCTGTAGATTAAAAAAAACACTTTGTAATAATAAAGTAACGTTTTGGAAGTCCTTTAACAATGTAAACATAATTGACATAAATGCAAGCGTCTACAACAAATTGTTCCGTATATACATGTATTAATCAGCTTAAATACAACATTGCCCAGAACTAATGATTGATAAAAAGTTACATTAACATTTTAATTCAATGTCGTCGGAAATAAATCATGACCTGGAGCTATTGTGGCTATACCGTTGCCTCTTCAAGTTTTTGTCATGCACATGTACAAGAGTGCGTGAATAGTATTCTCTAACACTTCGTAACTTGGACTAGACCTTTGTACCTAATTCTTAATGCTAACGGTATAACCCTAAAAAAATTTGACTTTGTTTTTTTATTCAAGGTTCTGTTTTGTTTAACTTCACCGTAAAAAGCGGAACTTTCAATGAAGATATCACAGTAAATACCCGTGGATCTGCAACATTTAACATCGTAAACATAAATCAGAATCGGGGCAACAATATATTCGCTCAGGTCATTTCAAAAACAGAACTTGACAGAGACGGATACGGAATAGTAAGCTCAGAACAGAACAATAACCTTACTATACAATACATCATATACCAATAGGTTTTTGATAAAAAAACACAGTCTTTTTCCAAAGATGAAAATACATTTAATCATGTTTTATATTATGTACTTATCGCACGTGTCATCACGTGCGTTGTATTGACTATATTGATAACCTATCATAATATCATGCCATGGTATCATGTAGAAAAGTAAAACAATTATCAATATACAAGGATTTATAAGCAGATCCTTCTATTTTATCAATATTATTATGCATGCCTTCCACTTTCTTTGCTATTCTGAAGAAATGTATTGAATTGTTTTCGATTAGGGGCTCATGAAAATACAGCTTTACATAGAATATGGAGCCTATCAAATTAATGTGCCTATTAACGGTGTGCAAAACGTTTCGTAATATTTAGAAGTAATTATAATATACATTATATGTTAGAAAATTAGATGAATACTAATCATACACACACAAACTTGTTTATCTCTTTCAGCCAGGTGTAGGTACGTGTACCCTGAAGTTCGTTGTCATTGACTTGAGAGGGAATACGGTAAATAACAAATGTTATCTTATATTGGTTTATGCTTATTTCAACTTTGATAAAAACTAAATATCCTTCCTCACCCATTATGTAAATATTTGCATTGAATATAGTTGTTCTAACATTTGTTAGATGTTCATGTTCTGATTAAATCAACAGTACAAGTAACAATTATTGGCACAAATAAGTTAATTTCTTGATATCTTTAAAAGAAGTTCTGTAAAAATTAATTACACACATACAGATGTTATTGTTTCACAGATATAATTCACTAGCCTTACATTTGTAGATTAATTTGGAGACAAAACTATACCTACGAGACGTTAATGATAACACACCGCGATTAGAAAACCGACCGTACCAGTGGATTATAAATGAAGTAAAATTATCATTGGATTAGAATTGCTTTCTCTTCTCATATAGTAACTTATAATAAAAAACGTATATTCAAAAATAGTGTTTTGATATATATTAAATAATTCTTAAATATAAATTGTATGGTATTGTGACAATGTAAGTAAAGTACACCGTGTAAAAGAAAGTAATGCAAGCATTTTATTGAACAATTAATTTTTGCTTTTTATTTGAATTCAAAATTTGTGTAGCACCTATAATTAGTATTTCATAATTATTGTTCTTGATTATTTAGTGCGTTGTGGTAAAATACAGAACAGTATGGAGTTCAGATATTCATTTACTTAGCCATGAAGGTTAATTGTCTGAGTGGTTAATTACAAATGTACAAACATCTAAACAACATTCATGTACCGTCACAAAGCACCCAAAAGCAAAACATGCAATTTCATTTTATATTTTTCATGTTGTAAGTTGTATAAAACCCAATACTATCTAGATTCGATTAAAGTTTCCAGGAAACGTAAAGTTTGAACTGTAGTTGTGTCATCGTTTCCCAGCTTACGAATTTAGTTTTGAAAAGATCACCATAAAAGAATGCTTTTGTCTCATATGTTCATATAAATTGCAATCAAGATTAATACAAATACATTTTGAAATAAATGTAAAGACTAAAATGCAGTAAACGATTTAAAATAAAAAACAAAATTTGTTATAAAAGGCAATATAATATATTTATACTGCGAGACAGTTCTGTGTGGAAAAAGGTAGGGGATAGCTCTATTGTTATTTTTTTTTACAAAAGTATCGTATGAGGGAATATCACTTCTTTCGAGATGAATCAGTCCATTCCAACACCAATTTTGCTAGCTAGGAAACGCCGCCATAACTACTGTTCAAACATTCAAACATGAATTTCGTTTCCTTGAATCGGTAGTCAAACTTATATAGCATAGCATTCTCTGATTGTCGTGTGAAATAACGCATCCTTCTCCGATAATGTTAAAATGCTTCAAATTTTCAAACATTAGTAACCAGTACTATAAATAATAATCATACAGTAATACTATCTAGTTTTATTTTTTTATTTAAAAGCACTCTCAGAAAGGAAATGAAACCTTTACCAATGTTAAAGCGACCGACTTAGATGACGGATTTAATGGTAATTTGGGAATAAGGTTTAAAATGGAGGTAATTTGTGTTTACAGACTATTTTTCTTTTAATTTTAAGACAGCATAATTGCTTATTTTGATGTAGAATACATAAGAGAAATAGCGTACGCTTCAGTTCGCTTCAATTTAAAGTTGATTCTATCTAAAATTATATTAAAGAGAAAAATATGACTAACAATGAAATTTACAATCATTCTTCGTTATTGAATTCTATAATTTGTCATTTGGTTTATTTATAATTTATAACAGTTTTGTTAACCTTGTGTATTTTTGTTTACTTTCCAGCCGTTAGCAAAGGTAAGTTTTCAATTGTCCAATGATTTGTCTAAACAAGTAAACATGATACTTCAACAAGGTAAATTTGATACACGTAGGGTATTATAATCGAAGAGAAATGTTGTTGTAAATGAAAAGTTGATTCATGTGTGCATTTGCGACAAAATTGCAAATATGCAAACAATTATGTAGAAACGATCATAGTCATAATTCCTGAATATCCATATGCGAGCTATTAAATCTGATCTACAACATAATCAAGTCAATAGAACGATATTTGCATAATCTGTTAACAAATATGGCAGAACGAATTGCCGTATGACATTTCAAAGTATGCGAAGTCTGTCTGTTTTTATAGCAAAAATAGATGAACGTATAAGATTATCTTAATTCATAACATGAAATTATTCTTTTAATTAATTAATTAATTGGTAAATACCGACTATTTCCTCATCCAAAAAGATCAATTTTATAGGCTCATTTGTTTTCTTATCAACATTTCACGTTAAAAAGTAACAGGAATCATCAGCAAAATTATCTATTTTTTCTTCTGCTTAACAAAATGCCCAACAATTAACAATGATTATTATCGGAATTAAAATCAGGTTAACTTCCACGACATTTCCAGCAACTGCAGATTTTTGACTCACAATATATTAACGCCAAAAAGTCATAACGTTCCTTAATGTACGCTTGAGTCAATTGCTTGATAATTCAGGAAAAGGAAGTAAACTCACGCATATTAAAAAAAAGATTGACTGTAGTATGACCCTATTACATGACAGCCCTAGTCATTCTATGGATAGTCAAAACTAAACTGTTAAATAACATTATATTTGTACGTTAACCGCCCTACGAAACCGGATTCTTTAGAAGGAAAGCATATATAAGAACAGAAAATCCATAATTATTTGTTTGTTCTGTTTCTGTTTTTAACGCCGATTTATTACATATTTTGGTCATATCTCGACGTTTGATCCACCTAGCCAACTTTCCTAGATAACTAGCTAGTAATTAACAATTTCTCCGCAAGTGACCGGCTTCTATTATTCCTTTCTGAATCGGCGATGACTCGTAGATCAATTGTCACCGAGAAATAACGCATCGTCAGAGGATTGAACCAAATACACTTGGATGTAAGAGGCCCTCGGACATAATACATTTCTCGCCTTGCCGGCTCTGGCTTTAAATGCGTCCTTAAGGGTCTAGAGATGGTACTGTGCCAAAAACGTACATTTGAAAGTAATAAAAATCGCTTCCTGATCATAAACAGGCAAGGAAATTGTATTTGAAAGGGAGCTCAAATTCTTCCTTGCAATGCATTGTATTTGTGGTATATGAGGAGGACTTTCTTTATCAAGTTTGATTTAAGATCATACTATAAGATATCTGCCCTAATGACTTATTTTGTAGTCGGTCGATAGAATATTCTGGACTTAAAAGGAGTATTTTTCAAGCTACCTTTGCTGTCTCTCTCTAGAGCTAAATAATTTGTAATGTAAAATTAAAAGTCGTTTTTCATTCAAAATTTAAAATAATGTTTAAACTAATTATTTGTTAACACTTTTCCTTATGAAAATATGGCAAGGTTTAGAGTTTTTTCTTTTTTATTAATCAGGTTTGAAAGCAAGAATGGATATATGGTTTCTTTCATGACAATTGTTTTTATTGACCTAGCTTTAATCTTTAACCTTTATTTACCTACAGTAGATCAAATAGGTTTTAAATCAAAGCACAGAAGGCGCTGTATTTGTTTGGGTCTCAGAATGTCAGAAAGGTGAAGGTTGTGAGATTATAAACCAATTTGTTTTGAAAAGTGCCCCCAATGCTTTCCAGCGTTTTAATTGTAGTAAATTTGCTATAAGACTAATTTAAACACTGATATTCAATCCAATGTTTATTTGACTTAAACAATTAGAAAAGAAAATGAGTTGCCTTAACTGGGATTTGAACTCCAGACTTCTCTCTTTCTAAGCGAGCGCGCAAACCCCTCGGCCACGGTGAAGTTATTTGTTAACAACCTGAAGAAAACTATATTATTCTATACACGGATTTATATTGTAATATAAATCCGTGTTCTATATTAGGGTTTGTAACGACGCTAACTGTTGTTTAACACAGATGTAAATAATCATGGAGCTTACTATAAGCATGTATGTCTATAAAGAATAAAACAATATTAGAAATCTTCGACCATTCGGGAAATATTTTGCTTGAAAATGAATGCGCCTGTCATTTGACCATCTTTACGCAGTGATCTCCCCTGAAGTTTTCGGCGTTAGTTTACATATAAAGGGAAGTAACCGCTTCAAAAAGCGGACTACTTTCGGCACTTGCAATTAACAGCATTAGAGTCTGAAATTTCGCTACCATTATTTGTTTGGTCTGACGACCCAAACAAATACAAATGACGAAATAATTTAGATATTGTCATATATTGAAACGAGGATTGTTTAAATATGTATCTAGAACGTAAGATTGTTCAAAATTGCGAACAGCACGGGGAAATGCAAGTTATCTGGTAGGTATACATGTTTATTTCGCAGGAAGACGATCTGAGTATTCCATTAAATTATGGTCTTATATTAAGAATCGTTGTCTCATTGAAATAAGGTATAAAGACATTTTTGATGAAATCTGTTCTGTATATGGACAAAATGAAATGTCTTTTTCATTAGCAATTTGTTAGTTAAAAAATTAAATGTGGATTAATTTTGACTGAGGATACACCCCATGCGCGTCGGCCTAAAACAGCAACGTCCGTCAAGATGGTTGCTAAAGTAAAAGAAATAAAAGAAACGTTTAGAACTTCAAAATACAATCATATGCATGAAACATGCATTCAAAAACCATATAAACAAAATATTTTTATTTTATATATTTAGTCTGCAAAACTTGCTTCGGAGTACGCAGCGACGTTCAACATGGATCCTCTTACAGGTGTGATAACACTGCATCGTATGTTAGACTATGAAAACCATAGCGTTTACCACTTTAACATTACAGCTACGGTAAATATAGATGACTTGCATCTTTTTTCCAATATGTTATCCTCCCGATATACTCGTACTTGTACTCGCCACATTGTACGTTCTTCTGACCGTCTGTTTTTCTGTCCATCGGCTGTTACCAGGCTGAAATGAAAGGTTAAGGTTTGTCATGGGGTTCATTTTATACAAACTGTAGTTCTTAGGTAAATATTCTATCTGTGGGTTAGAAAAGATCAAAAGAAGACCACATGAAGTGGCACATGATAAGTATGTCTGTCTGTCTAAACGCTCACCTTTCACACTCTTGTTATAGAGTTATAGAGACTAAAGTCTGTTTTTCTCTCTTTTTAAGACTATTAACGCTTGTCAAGAAAATATATTAAAAAGTATTTAAGAAATGTGTAGATCTTTTAGCTGGTCCTCTTACTTTTTTGTAAAGCAAGGGATTTTTGAAATTAATGTCGCTGGTGCTAAAATAGTTTTGTACACTGTTGCTTATAGATGCATTATCTATTCACTGAACTCTTTGAAATTCGTTTTTAGTGGTCAATTAACTCTGGATAAAGATCACTCGTGTCACACAGTCAAGGTAACCGGTGATACAATTAGATTTTAACACTATTCCTCGTGTAACCTTATTGTTGGACTGATGATTTTCATAATTGGTATGCAGATATCTTTGATGGCCCCTAGTTTTGATTGGAGTAAGGGGTCACTTAAAGGTCAAGTTCACTTCTGCTAATAATACATCGTACTACTTTAGCTTTTACTGCCCTTAATTCTTGACCGATATGTATTGAAATACATTGACAAATGAGCAAGTTCGGAGAACATCCATCGACTTAAGCGGTATGTGTTGCAAACTAATTTTTATAGCATCAGTGCTGTATGCAGTGTTGTTTGCTGTGTGATCGTAATTTTAGTAGTTTTATGACAAATGACCCTAAGACTTAATGCCTGTCACGTATAAATCATGCAATCCCTGGATAACTATTCCGTAGCCTCCTTATTGAGCTAACCTGGCGGAAATTCCAAAACGTGTTTAATACCTTATTGTTAAACATACTCTTATTTCGATATTATTATCATTGATTAAAGGATGAAAAAGGCAAAGGAAGAACGAGTGACAGTACTATTCTCACCATTACAGTAGACGACGTTCAAGATACCCCTCCAATTTTCACAAGCGGTTCATACAAAGCATTTGTACGTAATGATGCTGAAGTTGTAAGTTTTCTGTTTTGCTGAAAATGTTAACATGCTTCAGTAATAAGCTATATATGAGAAATAATTATAGAAATATAGACTCGTCATACTTAATTGCTGTTTCTAAGCGACTCAAACTATACAGGATAGAGAATTTTGAAAACTTTATTCAACAAATTAACTTAAAATATAATAATATATGCAGGAATCATGTTTTATCTTAAGGATATACTTTGTTTTGTGGTATTAATTAACGAATTATCTAACGTTTCTGATATTTTTTTCAAGCATTATTTTCTCGTTAAACGAATATTCTCAGGGAAGGTAACTTGAGCATTATTGTAATCAGTATTAAAGAAACCCTAACACGTTACTTAACATTGACTTAACAAAACACCGTTTAGATTTAGTTTTGTTTTGCAGAATACCCAGGTTATTACAGTACATGCTATAGATGGGGACACTGGATATAGGCCTATGAATGCAATGGGATATTACATCTCACCAGGTTTCATATTTATCTTTTACAATAGCTTATTGAATGTTTAAAATCATATCTCTCTAAATTTTAAAGATATCAGTTCGCCTTCGTTTTTTGAAATAAACGAGAAAAATTAACAGAATTTAAAATTTTCATGAAAACGATTACAACAAGAAACGCAAATGTTTGACACCGTATAATTATGCAATACTCAATTATTTATTACAGAGTGTTTTGCTAATCTGAACCCTTCTAATTATGAATATTTTCTGATCCGAATCTTACGAATTACGAATTTTACTGTTGTTAGCAAATGAAGTTCTGGTTATTGCAATTATAACTGAATATATTTTATAAATAATATGTTAATGGAAATACTGTAACTTCACCTCAATTATTAAACAAATTTTGATTCAGGCCGATGCTCAGAACTCTTCAGCATTAACGATCAGGGCGAAGTCAACACAAGACTTCGTATAGACACAAATACCGACGACTTTGATCCAGCATGTGAACTCACCGTTGTGGTAAGTCGAATTCGTAGATACAATAACGTAGAAAACAAATAATTCTATCGTTCATATCTATTTAAATTGTCATATTTATCTCGGATATGATACAAAAATCTAAATACCTATTTTTAGGAGCATTTTTAGTCGAAGTTTGGTAGAATATATATTTATACACACAGCCATTGAAACTCCTGAAATGATGCTATCTCGAAGCTTGTTCTCAAGTACATTGATTAAAATACAAACATCCTTAAGGGAAACAACAAGGTGCAGTGAGATCGGTTTTATTTTGACTATGTGTCAAAACACAAGACTACAAATTGAGGTTTTTGTATTCACCACCTTCTCTTGTACATATTGTATATAAGGTATATTGAATGGGTTAAGCTTGCTTAATCTCAATGATCAGTCATTGCGTAAAAATGTTATGTTATTTTACTGTTTTACTCAGCCAATAATATATGTCAATTTTATTGAATCGTCATTTATAGATGTAAATAATTGACATAAGCACATATTTACTTAAATACGTATATAAATAAGCGAAATCAAAGACTATATTTTGCAATCAAGACTATATTTTGCAAAACCTTGGTTTGTTGTTTTGTATTGTTTTTATACAAATGCACGTTGTATTTATTTCAATGTTAATACCAGGAAGTTACTATAAACTTTATATACTGCGCTAATATCTTAGCCCGCATGAGCTGTTTGTATATATTGTGCTTCTAAACGAGTGTATCATTAGAAATTACCAAGTTTATTCCAATCTCAATCTTTTGATAGACTAAAAATTTATAAAAGTAACAGAACATTGGACAATTTTGATTTGTTCCAAAGTCTCAGAAATAAGGTGCAGTATTTAGTTCACTCTGCAAAATCAAGTTATTTTACTAGTCAACTTGAGGAGAACAAAAATGATTCTAAATCTTTATGGAAATCTCTCAAAAATCTTCGGCTGCCATCTAAGAAAGGATCTTCTTCATCTAGTTCTAATATTTGTTTAAAAATTGATGAAAAGGTTTGTTTTGATAATAAACTTATTGCTGAGACTTTTAACAATTTCTATACAACTGTTGCTTGTAAACTTGTTGAAAAACTTCCTAATTTGGTCAGGTTTTTGTAAACTCATTTTATGCGGAAAGAGGTGTTTATCCTAATAGTTTTTCTTTTTCTCTTTTGTGTGAAAGCAAAGTTTTTAAATACTTAAATTCACTAAGTGCTAGCAAAGCCATTGGCTTAGATGGTATACCTTCCCGGTTTGTCAGGGATGGGTCACCTATAATTGCAGGTCCTATAACCCACATTGTCAACTTGTCTCTTATCCAAGGTGTAGTTCCTGATGATCTTAAGACTGCTAGAGTTGTCCCCCTTTTTGAAAAGAATGATAAACTTTCTGTAGGTAACTACAGGCCTGTGTCAATTTTAAATGTAGTTTCCAAGATACTTGAAAAGGTAGTTTATGACCAAGTTGAAACATATTTTAAAGAAAATAAGCTGTTGTATAATTTCCAATCTGGTTTTAGAAATGGTTTTTCCACTGATACTTGTCTCATTTACATGACAGACTACATTAGGCATGAAATTGATAAGGGTAATGTGGTAGGTATGTCTCTGTTAGACTTACAGAAAGCCTTTGACACTGTTGACCATTCCATTCTCTTAATGAAGCTTCAAGCTTCTGGTCTTGGTGATGACATCATAAGGTGGTTTAGGTCATATCTTTCTGAGAGGCAACAGCTTGTTGATGTGTCAGGTAGTTTTTCTTCCACTTCAAGTATAACATGTAGTGTTCCCCAGGGTTCAATCCTTGGGCCCCTCCTCTTTTAACTTTACGTCAATGACATGTCAGCAGTAGTGAAAAATAGACCATTGCTATATGCTGATGACTCTGGAATACTTGTTTCTGGAAAAAAATTATCTGAGGTGGAAATTTCTGTATCTGAAGATTTGTCCTCAGTAAGTCAATGGTTAATTGATAATAAGTTATCGTTGCACTTAGGTAAAACTGAGTCCATTGTGTTTGGGTCTAAACAGAATCTCAGGTCACATTCCAAATTAAACATAAATTGTAATGGCACTGCATCCACATTCATCAAATATCTTGGGGTAACTATTGATCAGTACCTGTCCTTTGGTTACATGGCAGACTCAGTAATTCAGAAGGCTAACGCCAGGTTAAAGTTCCTTTACCTTAAGAAAGATTTCCTTACACAGCATACCAAAAAACTGCTTGTCAATTCCTTAATTCAGTGCCACTTTGACTATGCCTGCTGTGTCTGGTATAATGGTTTAACTCAGGTGTTGAAAAATAAATTACAGACAACACAAAATAAAATGATGAGATTTGTTCTAAACCTTGATTCGAGAGTTCATATTGGCCCTTCCCATTTTATATTCCTTAATTGGTTACCAGTTTGTAAAAGAGTTGAACAAATCATGTTATGTCACGTTTTTAAGGTTAAAAAACAAATGGCCCCAGAGTACTTAAGTGATTATTGTGCCCCCACATTAGTGGCGGGCATTTAGATTTACCATTGTCCGTCCGTCCGTCCGTCCATCCGTCCGTCCTTCCGTCCGTCCGTCCGTTCTCTTTTGTGTCGCACGTAACTCAAAAAGTATTTGACCTACAGTCATGAAACTTTACAGGAATGTTGATCAGCATGTGAAGTTGTGCACCTGGGTATTTTCGTCTGGATATTTTTAGTATTTCTAGAGTTATTGCCCTTGACATAGTAAAATTTTTCAATTTTCAACTTGTGTCGCATGTAACTCAAAAAGTATTTGACCTAGAGTCATGAAACTTTACAGGAATGTTGATAAGCATGTGTAGTTGTGCACCTGGGTATTTTCGTCTGGATAATTTTTAGTATTTTTAGAGTTATTGCCCTTGACTTAGTAAAATTTGCAATTTTCAACTTGTGTCGCATGTAACTCAAAAAGTATTTGACCTAGAGTCATGAAACTTTACAGGAATGTTGATCAGCATGTGTAGTTGTGCACCTGGGTATTTTTGTCTGGATTTTTTTCAGTATTTTTAGAGTTATTGCCCTTGACTTAGTAAAATTTTGCAATTTTCAACTTGTGTCGCATGTAACTCAAAAAGTATTTGACCTAGAGTCATGATACTTTACAGGAATGTTGATCAGCATGTGAAGTTGTGCACCTGGGTATTTTCGTCTGGATAGTTTTAGTATTTTTAGAGTTATTGCCCTTGACTTAGTAAAATTTGCAATTTTCAACTTGTGTCGCATGTAACTCAAAAAGTGTTTGACATAGAGTCATGAAACTTTACAGGAATATTGATCAGCATGCGTAGTTGTGCACCTGGGTATTTTCGTCTGGATCTATTTAGTTTTTTTTTAAAGTTATTGCCCTTGACTTGGAAAATGTTTGCAATTTTCAACTTGTGTCGCATGTAACTCAAAAAGGATTTGACATAGATTCATTAAACCTTATGGGAAGGTTGCTCAGCATATTTAGTTTTGCTCGCTTGTGGATTTATCCAGTATTTTTAGAGTTATTTCCCTTGACTTAGTAAAAACTGTTTCATTATGTTGTTATTTGTTCCTTGAGTGCTTGAGTGCTTGAGTTAGAATCGACCAACTTTACAGGAATAATGATCAACATCACTAAATTACAAGAATAATGATTCACATCACTGTGAAGCTATGAACCTGGGACTTTGCATGTGGATTTTTTTTTCAGTTTTGTTAGAGTTATTGCCCTTGACTAACAGTAGTATAAATTTGCAATTTCAACTTGGGGTTTGCTTGGGGATTTATTCAGTATTTGTAAAGTTCTTGCCCTTTACTTAGTAAAAATATTTTTAGTTTTAAAAAAATATTTGACCTAGAGTCATAAGATTGACAGAACAGTGGCGCGGTGGGGGCACCCGTGTCCTATGGACACATTTCTAGTTTTGTTTCTCAGGAATCTATGCATTCTTATTGCACAAGACTATGTAAAAAGGAGGATATTGTCTTCCTAAGGTTAAATGTTCTGTGTCAAAGTCTTTTAGTTTCATTGGTGCTAAACTATAGAGCAGTCTTACAGCTTGTATAACTGAAATTAACAAATTTCATCGTTTTAAGGTAGCCATCAAAAGTCACTTTTTAAGTAGCATGCAAGAGTTTTTCTTAAAATTTCTTGCAAGAAAATTTTATATGTTTTCATTTTTTAATTAAAATATTTTTCGTCATTTTTTGAAATTTGCATTAAATGTTTTCATAAAACTTTAAAAACTTTCTCTTTTTTGTATAGCGTAATCTATGACATGTTCTTTCCTTACATACTCATAACAACTGTGATAATTGTTTAATATAATCTTTTCTTAATATGCACGTAATTATTTCTTAATGTGATACTGACTTTTTATTTACATTACCTTATATTTTGTGATATTTTTTTTTCTTTTATGAAATACCTCTCTATGTCATGCCACCAAATGCTAAGGACCACAACGGAAATAAGAGTTTGCTCTTTTTGTGTTATCCTTGGTTTTGGGAACATGTCATGGTTTACATAATATAGTATTTATTTATTTATTTATTTATTTGTAATTGTTTTAATCTATATTGTGTTTGTTTATCATGTAACATGTTTACCTTTTTGCCGAAATAAATCTATCTATCTATCTATAAATGCCCTTTATTCAACTGGTAACATAAAAATTGTAACATCATCAACAACAACAACAACAACCATAACAACAACAACAACAACAACAACACGCATTTTACCTTTTACAGTATAATATACGGTAGCTTCATTAGAATATAATGGATTTTTCATTATTTTTTTAAATATACGTGTTTATTTTATGCTTTTGAGTGGAATACAGATTTATCTGTAAAAATTATATTTGATAATTTCACAGTGAAAATGATCAAATATAATTTCACACATTTCAAAGAAAGGACAAGTTTAAAAAAAAAATCCCATGCAGTACCTTACTTTAATTTATGGTTAAATGTCTGTATCTGGGCTGTTTAGAGCAAAACAACAATTTTAATTGTATGTGAGAAGCATTTCTATTTGAAAGACCCTGTGAGAAGTTAGCATTTCAATTTATATAGGAAAATCAATGATCAGCTGTAATACTAAGCTGCCTTGGGCATCTAGCAGGGCATTCCTAAATATAGTGAAAAAAATGCTCTGCTGGAATGCTCAGCTAGCTAAGCAATCTAGCAGGGCATACATATATATAGTGTAGAATTGCTCTACTTTAATCCTCAGCTGTCTTGGCAATCTAGCAGGGCATTCCTAAATAAAGTGAAAAAATGCTCTGCCGGAATGCTAAGCTGGCTAGGCAATTTAGCAGTGTATTACTAAATATAGCGTTAATATGCTCTGCTGGAATGCTCAGCTGACTCAGGAATCTAGCAGGACAGTCCTCAATATAGTGAAAAAATGCTCTGCTGGAATGCTCAGCTGGCTAGGCAATCTAGCAGAGCATTTTTTTCACTATATTTAGGAATGCCCTGCTAGATTTCTAAGCCAGCTGAGCATTCCAGCAGAGCATGTTAACGCTTTATTTATTAATACACTGCTAGATTGGGTAGCCGGGCATTCCTAAATTTATTGTAAAATTGCTCTGCAATAATACTCAGCTGTCTTGGCAATCTAGTAGGTTATTTCTAAATATAGTGTAAAAATGCTCTGCTGGAATCCTCAGCTGCTAAGCTATCTAGTAGGGCATTCCTAAATAAAGTGTAAAAATGCTCTGCTGCAATGCTCAGCTGGTAAAGCAATATAGTGGGACATTCTAAAATATAGTGTAAAAATGCTCTGCTGGAATGCTCAGCTGGCTAAGCAATCTAGCCGGGCATTCCTAAATATAGTGTAAAAATGGTCTGCTGGAATGCTCGGCTGGCTAGGCAATCTGGCAGGGCATTCCAAGATATAGTGTAAAATGCTCTGCTTGAATGCTTAGCTGGCTAGGCAATTTAGCATGGCTTTCCTAAATAAAGTGTAAAAAAAATGCTCTGCTGGAATAATCAGCTGGCTAGGCAATCTAGCAGGGCATTCCAAAATATAGTGTAAACATGCTCTTGCATGTATATGCATATGTCAACTTTTACAATTACTTATTGTCTGTAACAAACCACAAGTAAATATTCTATAATAAAAGATGAAAATTATTAAATCCAAATAAAATCCCTTGAAATAAACAACTTTTAAAAATGGCGGTAGATAAATGGTATAGACTCACATATCCTTCCGCTTTATAAAATTTATTAAATTAGGCACTTTTTCACCTTTTTGAAATATTTGTTTTAATGATTAAAACAAGCCATCATAAATGTTTTTGTTTAAAATAAATAATATCATCGCCATTTAACGTTGATTTTAGAACTTATTTTTCAGCTAAAGTCTTCTTGTATTTATGAGTTAAAGACCTTTTCGGATGTTTTCATATAGACATATAGGCAAAATTAAAACTGTTCAATAGAATTTCTTTAAACTTGGCATGTTGTTAAAATATGATAACAGAAACGATTTAAACGGAAAAAAGTAGGAGTCACCGTTCTCGTTATTGAGTTATCTGCCATTGAAATTCTATTGAACAGTTTAAATTTTGCCCAAGTTATCAATTAAACTGTAATCCTCTTTTGAATATGTTAACATACTCAACATTATCATGTATATAATTAACGGCCTGGTGAAATTCAATATACTAAAATATGTCTATGTTTAGGCACAGGAAGTTGATGCTGATCAAAGTCAACAGTACGGACCAATAAAGACGGAAGCAACAGTGTATGTTGTTTTGGGAACCAAAGGTAAAATAGTGTTAAAATTGGTATAGCTTGACACGCACATACACAAACATGCACATGCACACCATACAGTAGAATCTGTTTGTTTATTCTTTGCATGAATGTTTCTTTCCCATTATTCTCGTGAATAAACATTCCAACAAGTAGAATGTCCATTGTTTTTTGTAACGTTCATGTTATATGTAAGTATATCTACATGTTTTTATACAGTAAATTATTCATTTGTTATATATTTTAACAGAAACCCACAGTGAGTTTGAAAGAAGATGCAGCAGCGGCGGTTCAAACCTCAGCATAGTCATCAGTGTACAAATAGTTGGAACATTGTTGGTTACACTGCTTCTTGGCATTTAAACATTCAGTTAAAAAAAGTTAATATTATAATGTGCTTTAAGACTTATATTCTGTCAAGCTTATAAAAAATAATCTTAATTTCGATATAGTGAAATTTCCAATTCTGATTGTAATAATAGTTATTTTGATGATATTTTGCATATATTGATTGACACAAATACGGGATGCTTAAGTGGTGACACCGGCAATATACAGGTGAAGAATGAAAACACAAACCAGCAATGTTAATTTCATTACTTACAATTATTTACATTTTTTTCTAATTATTTTTCAACCAAATTATACAAACATTCGAATCATAATTAAATCATTACATAAAGAATGATTACATATTTAGAAATTTCAATTGAATGTTAATAATTATATTTGTATCCAATAAATGATTTTGCTAGCAGAACATCGTTTCCATTTCTGTGAATATGTGAGTAAGCTTACTAAATTTCGGGTATACTCGGAAATCATTGTCCGTCATTGCGGGATGAAATCTGGTAGCGTTCAGGAATCACGTCTAGCCACTGGGGATGCTATTAGATCATTTAAAGAATGTGGCACATAACCAATTGCAACATGTAGGTTTAAAGACATCAGAAATGTGTTAGTATCGTTGAAAAAGTGCGACGCGCACTTGCCTTAAATGACGTAGACGTAAATTCACATTTGGTCCCTAGCAATGTATGTTTCATAGTGTTACTTAAATGTATTAGTAGTAGTATGTAACTATTTTATGTATTGATATATTTGAATGAAAATTACATGTCTCATGCAAAAGTTAGGTTTCATGGTGTAAATCGATCATTCACATTTGTTTAATTGTTTAAATGAGATCAATCGACCAACACAAAGCTGAAAAAGTAAACACATTTTCTAAAAATATTCTTTATTAAAGAATACTGGATACTAATTTTTCAGCAGTCGAAACATACCTAACAAAGAACATTTTTTTCCATCTTTCATCACTTTGCACGCAATTGGTCTTGAATGTTTACTCCCTTTTATAAGCTCTCTTTAGTTTTATATGAACTTCCGTCAGATATCCATTAATGAAGTATCTATGAATAACTGGTCAGTGATTGTTACTTGTTAATTGCAAATCAGATGGGTTTACATCTCAATGTGTTCATATTTAAATTATTTATATACCTGAACAGCATATTGTATGATTCTTTTAAATATTACATTATTTATTCCTTTAAATAATTTTCATTTTTTAAAGAGAAATTTTATGTTTCCATAATCCTCCCAATGATAAGGCGAGTGATGGCCTATTGGTGAAAGGGTCTGCCTCTTAACCCAGGGATAATGGGTTCGAGCCCTTCTTGCGTCAAGACCATGTTTCTTTCTATGATACCATGTTATTCCAAATTATATTTTACAAACAACATTGAAAATTCAAATGATACTTGTAGCGCCGATATATGTCCAAACGTCGAAAAATGTCCAAACGACGATAAATGTCCAAAAATTGACGATAAATGTCTCAATCGCCGATAAATGTCCAAAACTCCTTTAACGATAATTGTCCAAAAATTAACGAAAAATGTCGCAACAAATTAGGTGTTCATAAATGTCCAAATCGGTTAACGATAAATGTCTCAACTTTTCATATGTTAATTGCACTCTACAGTAATGCATCAGCCACTTATAAAGGTTTCCATAGGGATTAAAAGTACAGATCTAAGTAGGGTTCTCACCAGCATCCCGGCAAAGCCCAGGACCACCCCAGACGATCCGGGATGAAAATATTGTTGCAGTCTCAATAACCCCGGTAGCACTACGGCGAAACTTAATTTTCATACTTATAACAACCAGGATGAACTCCGGGCCATCCATGCAGAGTCCAGTTGAAACTACAGATAATGCAGATAGTAAGTGGACGACGGATGACCTAACACGCTGTTAATTCTTCGATCAAAGAGATTATAAAAGCTGAGATCCATGCTAGCACAGCCCCAGATGATGTCGGCAGAGTCCCGGATGATCCCGGCAGAGCCCCGTAGGTCAGATAGAGTGCCGACAATCACCGGTAGAGCCCCGGAAGAGCCCTTGATCATCCCGGACGTTGCCGACAGATTTACGGACGTACTCCGGTCGTTCCTGGATCACCCGACCTCGACCACCGAGACTCTAGCAGGATGCTTGTGAGATTGTTAAAAAAGTTTAAAAATGTATTTGAAAATAAGTTTATTGTTGGATACAGTCAATCTCCCTTACTATTAAAAGGGAAAAAGAATAAGTTAAACAGAGGTGCATTGTACTGGTGCTTTACACCGGGCACTTAAAAGAACCAGGGTCGCCTCTGGAACGGGGCGTATTCTGTATCATGCACTATCCCCCGAAAAATAACTATACTAACAATCTTAAGGGGACGTTGGTCATATGGGCAACCGGTACCAACGATAAAAAAGTCAAAATAAAATAAGTTATATGCCCCCCCCCCCCTTTGAAGAAGTGGGGGTATATTGCTTTGCCCATGTCGGTCGGTCGGTCCCGTAGACCATGCCATTTCCGCTCAATAACTAGACAATGCTTTGGCTGATGGTCCTCATATTTGGTGTTGAGGTTGGCCATGACTAGTAGATGACCCCCATTGATTTTAGGGTCAGTAGGTCAAAGGTGAAGGTCACAGTGACTTCACCATGAAAAGCTTGTTTTTTAAGAAGACATTTTGTGTGTAACATTGTCTCATTGACAACTACAGGGTTTACTCAATTCATGGACCCATGGGTTATATTGGTTCTGCCCAATGGCAATGATATACATGTATTCCATAACAAATTTACTATGCATTTTTATACACATTTAAAAATCTAACGTTATAATATAAAATTGGCTGTATTTAGGGGGGGGGGGGGGGGCATACATGTTTTACAAACATATCTTGTTAACATCTGCATTGCGCTACTCTACACTTATAGCTATATTCAGTGTCGTCACTCGAACTCAACCTCCACTCAAACTCGGGAAAGGCTTCCTTTAGGACGAATTGAGGACGCCTTGGTCAAGGTGAACTCAAGTATAGAATTGGTATTCATATTTGAAAGTCTTCCTCGACTTACCCGAGGAGGTTTGAGTAGCAAATCACCCGTAAAATTACTGTTATAGGTGATCTGTTCAAAAAGATATACAATAATTACATAATTCATTATGTATATCAACTGGGTTTCAAGATAAGTATTGAAGTATCATAAATATGAGTTTGGTACAGACATCATTTGTACATGTACTTTTGAAAATGACTTGCAGAATAAAACGTTGACTAATGAGCAAGTGGTCTGTGTACAATAATAATTCATCTATATTTAAATTATATTCTTGCTTCTACCATCAAATTGCTGAAGTCTATCGACAGAATTAATTTATTCTACGTTTTTTGAAAATGTATTAATCAGGTTTTGAGTTATTTTCACGACTAAAGCGCAGTTTGATTAAAAGTGAACACTAATATAACTTGAAAATGTGAAACATTTTGGACAGAAAAAGAGGTATACTTATTTCTACCATATTCATTTATTCAGTTGATGCACATAAACTAATAGTTTTCTTAACATTTGATGAATTTGTCTTTACGTACAAAAATGGTTGTTACTATTAGATTGGTACTTTTGGATATTCATAGAATTGTGTATTGAAATCTCTTCTGATGATGCTGAACGTCAACGACACTGGGATGCACAGGGGTACATATTATATCGAGGGGCACAAAACTCTTACATAACTCATTCATAAAGCGATAATAATGTCTAAGTACCCAGTTAGCATAATATTATTTATTTCCTAGTCTGTCTATCTGTCTGTCTCTTGTTTTTATCTACATGTATACACATTATACTATTTTTGTGTATATCGAACATTTTCAGATCAAAATCGCTATAATTGTGAAGTGATGATCTGTATTTTCCTTCAGGCAAAGACTGCTGACCTAAGGGTTTTTTTTTTCGGTATAATAAAATAAATAACACATGGCTGTCGGGGTGATAGAGGATATTGCCAACCCTTGATCTGGCATATTACCCTCGGCTGCGCCTCGGTGTAATATACCAGTTCTCGTGTTGACAATATCCTCTATCACCCCGACAGTCATGTGTTAATTATATATTATTATACCTCAATATATCCTTCAATGTAAACTCTCATAGGCCTACAATGTGTTCTGATCGAATATCACCCTCCTAGAATATATTCCCCGGGGATTATTTCTTATATCTTATGACTGAATGTACATGTTATCAATATACTTATCCTGTTTTGACTTGATCATGTTCTTCTGTTAAAAATTCATGTCTGTATTTCTTGCATTGTAAATGGCTATGTATGTATGTAAACACATATTATGCTAATAAACTATATGTTATGTTATGTTATGTTATTTCTTATATCACCCTTGGGCACATAGCTCTTACATAACTCTGTATTCATAATAGCGATAATGCCTAAGTAACCAGTTAACATAATGCAAAAATATACATACTAATACAATTTAAATAGTTTATAAAAAAAATCTTTATTTAGCAAAGAATCCCACGTGGAAAGCGAAAAGTTCGTGCGAAACTGTTACAAGCTTGTACATGTTCACGTGTATAAAATTGCTACACATGAAAATTTTATAGATAGTTGTAATTTTGCATCCATTAATAATAATTTACATCGGGGGTAAACCAGAGGGTAAAATCAGGGTTAGTTTGATAGACTGTTACAGTATCCGATACATTAAATTACAAATTAACATAAGAAAGGTTGAGACATTTATCGTTAACCGATTTGGACATTTATGAGCACCTAATTTGTTGCAACATTTTTCGTTAGTTTTTGGACATTTATCGTTAAAGGAGTTTTGGACATTTATCGGCGATTGAGACATTTATCGTCAATTTTTGGACATTTATCGTCGTTTGGACATTTTTCGACGTTTGGACATATATCGGCGCTACAATACTTTCAAAGAATTTATCAATATAGTAATGTTTTCCAATTTATCTGAAAATAAGATTGCATTGGAAACGTATCGATATGTTTGTATGTAGAGCAATAAACAAGGCTTTCTCACAAGGACCTATGTCGTTTACACTCTCAGAGAATCAAAACATGTATTCCAAAAAGAGATATGTCTAGAATTGAAAAAAAAAAAAAAGAAAAAGAAAAAACAACTACAAAAATAACAAACAGACAAACAAAAAATCTTGCGACCAATTTCTCTTTTAAATTGCGTTTCAAGAGACATTTAGATGTGCAAGTGAGTAACGATCAAACAGGTTTATTAAAGGCAGATTTATATAGGGAAAAGGGAAAAATTCTATATTTTATTATAATTATGAAAGAACAGGTAATGTCCTTTTAAAATACTTTTACGACAACTTTCTTAAAAGTTATTTTAAAATTTACTAAAGGCACACATCCGAT